TTAAGAATGGTATAGACAATGCTCCAAAAACTTGAGTTTTCATTATGTGACTTTTTTTCATGTCTGTATATGATTTCTTTCACTTTTGTTAACATAGAGTCCCGCATCTCATAAATCAAATGTAGGCATGATTTATCTGTGTCAGCCTCTCTCAACATATCATAATAAATCGGATCAATAAAAGCCAAAATGTAATATACATCATCCCACCACAAATCATCTAAGACATTTTCTTTCACATACCTTGCCTTCTCAACATCATCTTCTCGATAGCAAGACCACTTCTCACTAATCACCATAGATTGAAGAACATTTTTTATTTGTTTGAATCTTCTCAACATGATTATTACAGAGGCAAAACGAGTTTCAGCAATAGCTAACATTCTCAAATGTGAGAAATAATTAAATATTGAAAGTCTCATTGAGTGGTTCGTAATAAAATTTCTGATCAAAACAGCATCATTGCAATCACTGTTATCCAATGACATTCATCATATATGATTTCATTTGTCTCTGTCTTCTTTATTACACAAATATTTTTTAAAGCAAGATTTAAAGTGTGCACAACACATGGAGTCTAGAATATATGAGGATAAGTTTTCTCCACTAACAATCCTGCAGCTCTACACATTGGTGCATTATCTATTATAACCTGCATAATATTTGAAGGCCCAATAATGACTATCACCTCTTTAATCAAATTGGTAATGAAATATTTATCCTTGTATTCTCCTTCATAATTTACAGCTTTAATAAACATTGGACAATTCTCTGTAACGGCCATGAAATTAATAAGTGATTTTCTTTGAGGATCAGTCCAACCATCACACATCAAAGTGACTCCTTTTTCTTTCCACACACCTTTTTTTATTCAAATAATGTTTCAATATGTGTTCTTTCCCTTTCAAATAATTTGATCTTAATGTATTGTAGCCAGGTGGAACATAACTTACAAGGTTGTTATTACATGCAAAAGTGAATGTATTTTTGTAATGAGAATTTCTTGCAAGATTGAAAGGAGTCCAGCTGAAAAAAAAACATTCTTGTAATTTCACCATCTAATTCCTCTCGCTGTTGCATGTTAAAAGCCTTCTCTAAAGCACTATTGGCAACTCCTTTTCTTTTCTTTAAATCAGATCCTTCACTTCTATATGATAATGATTGATCAATTCTAACAGATGAGGAAGAAGTGTGGGATGAATCATGGGTAGATGACAAAGATATCTCTTTAGGAAGTGCCATTTTGATCCTAGATTCAGCATCATCAACTTGTCTGTTCAATTCAATCAACTTTGATGTAGTAATCTTAGAACACATTTTAATTCCATGGCTAGAAATCTTAAGTAGATATGCTTTGACCCTAGAATAAGATTCTTTATAGGTGTCACCACAATAATTGCATTTGAATGACACATTCCCTTCTCCCTCATAAAATTTTCCTTTGTAACATGAATCCATAATGGCTTATCAGTTTCTACAAATTGCTCTTTTGAACCACTCCCACCAACACTAGAGCTCATTTTTCTTTTAAATTCACTGGTGTAGTAGAAGAAATAAAGGTTTAATAATTTGGGTGGTATATTATAAAACAATTAAAATTTATCAAACAAAGTTAAAAAATAGTTAAAGAATTATTGCATCATGTGTTATGACTATATGACAAAAAACAATAAAAAATTTGCTATTATGCTAGGGGTCCAAGGGGGCGCTGCCCCCTGGCGTGGTTCAACCTGCCCAGTCAGGTCGCGGGGCCAAGGGGCAGCGCCCCTGCATGGGTTTCCGGGGGCAGCGCCCTCGGAACAAAAAATTTATGTGTAGTGAAAGCGCAGCAAAAGCGCATCAAAAGCGCAGTAAAAGCACAATGAAAGCACAGTGAAAGCACATCAAAAGTGCAGTTAAAGCACAGTTAAAGCGCAGTAAAAGCGAAGTTAAAGCGCATCAAAAGCGTAGTAAAAGTACAGTAAAAGCACATCAAAAGCGCATCAAAAGCGCAGTAAAAGCCAAGTTAAAGCGCATCAAAAGTGCAGTTAAAGCGCATTGAATAAAAAAAATTTTTTTGTAAGAATAATTTTAATCCAAAACAAATAAAATACTTTAAAAAATATGTTCTTCTGATCACAAATCTACAGAATCATTAATAAATTAAGAGAAATGGCGAATGGAGAAAAAAATAACGAAATCAACTTACAGGTCTGAAAAATTTTCTGCGGTTTAACGTTAGCTTCCCTCGGCTGTGCCTAGAAACTAAGGAGGATGGCTTCTTGGCTGATGCTTACTGCCAGAAGGGAAGACCAAGGGTGCGATCTCCAACCGACCGCTTCTCGCCTCAATTGCTCGGGAAAACCACGAATACGAATAGGAATACGGGATTAAGGAGAAGATGAAGACTCGGGCGTGAACCGGCTAATATTAAATAGTGGGATTAGGGTTTTTTTTATTTGTTTAATTATACAATAGCCGGACATGCGTGTCCGGTTTAATTTTTTTTTTAAATGGGACACACTAATGACGTGTCCGACACGTGTCCTCGCCGTGTCGGACGCGTGTCCGTGTTCAACACTGTATACCCTCTTAAAATGAAGTGTCGGTGCCTCAGAGTATTAGAATCAAGGTCTTCTTACCCAAATTATCTTTTCTTTTCCTATGCTATCCTATGCTATCAGGAGGATGAGCAGCTGATGAGTTTTCAGTTTGAAGGATTTGACAATATTAACAGCCTTAACCATCTTTAATATTGAAACTAACAACCTAGTGAACTCTAAGCTTTCCTAAGTCTAACTTTTACATATTAATTCTGTTCTGCAAAACTGGAATAAGGTGCATACAAAAACCAATTTATTATATCCCTTACAGCCTTAATGTTGTTAAAATTATCTCATCCGATCATCATTGGTCCTTGTAACAATTCCCAGGTATCATGGTTATATAATATTTATGGTGTCTGATTTTCAACTAAAGGATTTTATATAACATTGATTTTAATCATGCTCCAACACTTTTCTTTGCATCATTTTCACAATATAAATCTTTTAGTTCATCGTTTCCTCTTAACTCAAAAAACTGTTGAAGGAGTCATTGTTGCAGCAAGAATATTTGTGATTTCACTTTAAAAAAATATGTGCATAAATGTATCTACGTATTGCCATGTGCACAAATTAGTACATACCAAATATTATTGATGACTTGGTACATATATTCTTTTGTAACCCCGATATACTTTTGTTGCAGCAACTCATTTGACCTTTCCACATTATCGACAACATCGATTGTTCCAGTTGACTTGAACACTTATTTATATAAGGTATTGTCTAAAAAACTGTCAGATTTCTGATTATTCTATTTATTTCTAAAATATTGTTGGCATAGTTAAATTTTGTTTGATGGTTTAGCAGCCAAAATCTTTAGGATATCTTTTCTAAGAATAAGCATTAATTACTTTTCTTGCTTGTTTATATAAATGGCAATGCAAAATGTCCCAAATTTTACTTATAGTTAACTGAGGCCGCTTAACCATTGCCCAAGGCCCATCTTTAGGCCATAAAAGTTTTCTATACACACCTTCGGTCTTTTACATGTTTATGATTGCAAAACATTCTGGAAAGGAAATAATCTGATTTCAGAAGTTCAAATGAATGAATAAATGAATGAAGTTCCTCAAAAAATGGGTACACTAATATATCACACTATTCGCTAAAGAGATCATGCGAATATTCTTGAGAAAATAAAAAATGTATACATAATTATTGTGCACAACCTCAGATCGATTTATTTGATTATGTACTGCAACTTTCTTCATCAGGTGGAGCTTGACATAGCATTCTTTGCACAACAACTTGGTGATATCAAAACCCATGAAAAATTCTTCAAGGCTTCAAAAGCACGGCAATTTGCAATTAGATCGATCTTTTGGAATGCAGAGATGAACCAGTGGCTTGACTACTGGATTAGATCCAAAGATTGTGAGGTGCTTTATTAAACCAAATATTTTAGATTTGAACATTGTGTTTAGATTAAGAACTGATAGTAATTGTTATGTTTCTAATGTTCAGGATGTTCATCAATTTGAAGCTAGGAATCAAAATGATAGGATATTTGCATCAAACTTCATACCCATGTGGAATTGGAAGCATGCCTCAGGTTTGACATTTCCGTATGCTCTCCATGGGTGTGAATTCATTTGATGAATAACATAAAAACATAAATATTTTTCTTGTATGCTTTCAATTTTGGAGTTCATTGAGATTGTATCAATGCAGTTTCTATAATATTTTGCTGCATTGAAATGATCTTGAATTAGTACATTCTGCAAGGCTAAATGGTAAAGGTTTTTGGAATTTTACATTGTAATTTTCAGCACAGTAGCATATGTGATTTGGTGGAGTTCCAACGATTAGTTGTTTTTTTTGTGTAGTCCTTTGGCGGATGCATTGTCCCAGATAATGTTCTGAGATACATGCATAAGATGATCTTGAGTAAATTTTGAGCACACTCAACTCCATTCGGAATCTGAAAATCTGAGTTGTTCCAAATTGACCCAAAATTGTTAGATTTCAAATCAACTGAAAAATATTGCTAAGTGAACTTGTTTTCTAGTTTTTATCTGATCATACAGTATTATATATGATTTGAGTCATATTTCCAATCAACTGGACCTGTATTCAAACCTTTATATTCGAACGTGTTCAAACAACAACAACAACAACAACAACAACATCAAGCCTTTGTCCCACTGCGTGGGTCGGCTACATGAATCCTTTTTCTCCATTGTGTATTGTTAAAAGTCAAATTCTCATTTACATCTAATAAAGAAAGATCATTTCTAATATTTTCTAACCAAGTCTTTTTAGGTCCACCTCTACCTTTCTTAACATAAGTCAAATCTAATACATCTACTTTCCTAACCTAGTCATCGGGAGGCTGTCGTCTTATGTGACCAAACCATCTAAGGCGACTCTCTCTAGTCGTATCTTCCACTGGAGCTTCTCCAATCTTTTCACGTATATGCTCATTTCGTATCCAATCTCTAAGGGTAATGCCACTCATCCACCTAAGCATCCTCATCTCTGCAACACTTAACTTAGTATTATGCTTCTCTTTTAATGGCCAACATTCAGCACCATAAAACATTGCAGGTCTCACCACCATCTTATAGAATTTTCCCTTAAGTTTGAGGGGGACTTTTCTATCACACAACAAGCCCGATGCAAAATTAATTTTGAATCCTCATTTTAGCTCAACATCAACTCAAAAATGAATTGGGTTAATTAGACTTGGGAGCCACCCCATCACCGCCGGCCACTACCAGCCACCTCCGCTGCATTCAATTTACATTGCATTCACTTTACTTCAAGTCAAACAAAAAAAAAAGTAAAAACCTTCATTTACTTTACACTCAACCAAACAATTTCAAAGTATTTTAAATACACTGCAATTATTTTACACTATTTTTTTTTTCATGCAACCAAACAGTCTCTTAATAGAACCATTCTCTAGAGCTTCCTAGTAGTCCTCCTATACAATGGACTTTACTTTTTCTAGGTGGTGAAAGCACCACAAAGTTTGAGCATTTTAAGCTAATTCAGATATTTTTCTTAATTGATGTGGATGCTTATCTCATTTTTTCTCATATTCTGATAGAATCTTTTGTAAAAACGTAGCACGGTTAAGTGTTTAAGGCCATCTTTCATTCCATTTGATAGAGTTTTATGAATAACTTTTTTACATATTTGTACATGACGGGTGCAAAAAATTTGAACCCCTCATAAAGTTAACCCTTTGACTATTACATATTGTACATGCAGGGAAGCTAAAATTACGAGCCCCTTACTCCTTGATTACTTCAAAAATAAAAAAAATAAAAAAAAAAAATCATCTTTTGAAATGCTATTGTGATGGTGCGTTAATAAAATTGACTTGATCTACAAATTTTTCATGTATAAATACTTGTCCTTGATTCATGAAAGAATTTTCTCAGGTTTAGGTGAAAATAACATTATGGTGGAAAGAATTCTTGAAAGCTTCCAGAAATCTGGTTTGCTTCAACCTGCTGGAATTGTTACATCATTATCAAACAATGGGCAACAGTGGTAAGTTATCTTGGACCAGCTGGATGTGAAGCAATCTTATTGAACTTAAAACCATTGATATGTTGTTGAGCAGGGATTTTCCCAATGGTTGGTCTCCTCTGCAACATCTCATCATCGAAGGGTTATCTAATTCTGGTTCAAAAGCTGGTTGGGAATTGGCTCAGGATATTGCTGTAAGATGGATTAGAACAAATTATGCTGCGTACAACACCACTGGTGCAATGCATGAGAAATATGATGTTAAAGGTTGTGGAAAGGTTGGCGGTGGCGGTGAATATAAACCTCAGGTGAATGCTTACCACTTTAGACAAGAAGTTAACGTCCAATGATTAGAACGTAAAAAGATATAGACCTAAAATAATTCAAATAGAGCTGTTGAAAAAATATTATACAAAATAATTTTTAACACCTGATGCAATGATAAATAAGCACAAACGTAGTATTATAAGGATTTATGAAGCTGACTCAAAATAGCTGAGAGATAAGATTATGAGGAAATAAAGGACGAATTATTCTGTGCGGACGCCGAATGCCATCCAAATCCTAATGAAAATGCGTCACGTCACCCCTTATTCGGTACTGCAGCTCGGTACTGCTCGGTATTGGATGACGTGGCTGCGCCTGATTCGCCTATTATGGATGGTAAGCTGTGTACGGTGTCCGCACAGAATAATCTCTCGATATAAAGAGGTGAAATTTTACTCTTTTTCCCATCTCTCTTACTCGAATGTTCTTTGAACTTGATCTTTTGAATGAATGGTGGTGATGAAACATCAATTTCTCAGCAACTCCAAAATATCTTTCACAATTTCAGTACTTAGTTTCAAATAGAAGTCACATTGAACCTGATTTTTTCTCTACTTGCATTAAGTAGAATTCTGCCTATATACTTGCATTGTTATAATTAAATTAATCTGTTGTTGAGGAACTTGTTCTGATCCATACTGGCAATTGCTTTTCATGCCGCAGACTGGCTTTGGTTGGTCTAATGGTGTGGTGCTGGCTCTCTTAGAAGAATTTGGCTGGCCTTTTGACAGGGATATTGAATGCCGTTCTTGAAATCACATAATAAGAATCAGAGACCAGGAGTATCATTAGCTACTTGTGCCGGTTCGATACCAAACCACTGCTCCCACATTATCAGCTTCAGAGCTTGTTTGTCTTCTTTTGTTTCTCATTTTTATATTTATAATTTGCATTTAGGAAGAGATGTCCTGTGTACTTCAAATCTATTGAAATGATATTTTAGTAAATTTAGCCAAAATCTCCATATACTCCTACGTGGCTTCTATTTTTTTTTTTACTAATGGATAATTCTTTAAGAATTTGAGTACTACCTCATTGACATTAGAGATAAAATTCCTCTTATCAAGTTGCGAAATTTGATTATAAGCATGAAAGTATATTAAATAGTGTTACAGAATTTTCACTATGCTTCAAGCATGTAAGAAGGTGCATGTCGTGCAAGCATTGTGTAGCATCTCATTTAAGTTTTTTTTTTTTTTTAATTTTAATTAGTATGGTTTTTTTAGAATTTGAGTAATTTATTTTCCAATAAAACATAAAAATGATTAAAATTCAAAAAAAAAAAAAAAAACCATTAGACCTGTGAAAAATTTTGAAATTTCTTAAATCTTTTTTGTAATTCTTCCAATGTAGAGTCCCCTAAAAATATAAAAACTTATTAAATGTTGTAATATATCTATTTTTAGCAAGTTCTTGATTTTTTTTTGCTCTTTTTTTATTTATTTATTTATTTTCTTTGTTGACATCCCCTTATAAGTCCACAAGCATATTCCAAAATCGAAACCTGCAACAATTAATGTATGAATACACAATAAAATTCATCATCATACAATATTGATGCTCAAAACATAAGAAAATAGTTCAAAATATAAGTTTAACAACAACAAAATGCAACCGTTTAACATAAACAACTTCAAAACATTTAAATGGTTAAGAAAAGTATTCCAAACGACTAGAATAATAGTAAGTTATCCAAAACAAAGCACTATATTCTCCACCAACAAATATGATAACTTAAACATTAAATTGTTTACTCATCATCCATCTCCTAGATCCCCTCTTATTCATGCTCGATCAAGACGCTGGTCCATTTTCTTTCCTTTTTGCTTAGATGTGATCGCAGCTCTGTCTGCATCTCAATCAATTATGTCAATATGTTGGCCTATTTTTGTTTCATCTCTATCTCATTGGTGAGAGCATCTACCCTCTGACTAACGATATCATCATCTCCACTATTACCAAAAGATGTTGAGGTGGATCTATTGCTCTCATTTGCATACGCCTGCGAACTTAATACATTAACCCTCCCCTTCTATCTCCCTCCAACAGCCTCTAAGTACATGTGGTACTTAGAGCACTACATCAATCTTGAAGATGATCCCTTAGTAGTAGATGTCTGACCTTCCTGAAGTCATACAAAATAATCATGCGAGAAACTATATCAATAAAAATCTATTTCTATTTGCAAGATGACAACTCAAAAAATTGATATTCACTTGAGCTTTTTCTTCCTTTTCATCAACCCACTAATGATTAGCTTGACGTTGTTGAGTATATATATGCAACTCTAATGATATTGGTTTCCGACAAAGAAACTCTTTCTACAATAGTGAGCATTGTTAAAATAATATATATATATGTTAAAATAAAATATTCATTTACTACTTGCTCTCTTTGCTCAGTATGAGGCACTGAACTGCCCGTGTGAAGAGATCTTCCTAAACCTCTACAGTCGGATACTCTATTTTTCTTGTTCTATTCTATTAACTTGGCGAACTTAGGGGTAGTGCAAGCTCCAGTCAAATGACCCCACATGCTCTCTCCATGCCATAATAGACGCTTCCGAGACTTTCTAATGTCTGTGAACATATCCCTCAGACAAGAAAAGCCACTTCTTTCAAAATTGATTTTGATTCTCATAGCATGTTCAGACAATCATCTAAAATCTTTCTATACAATATTGTCATAATAAAATAATCACCAATGTTAAGTAATGTCAAAATTATATACCTGAAATTCTCTAAATCACATTTTCCTAACTTTCTTTATAATATTCTTTCAAGATTAATAAGGAGCATCATATCTGCTCCGTATTATGTCTCGAATCTTGTGGTGGCTTGCTTAATAGGATTAAACCTGTAGAACTATAAATGATATAACATATGAATATTTAAATTTAATAATAAAATGAACTTATATATCACCATCAAATTCTATGTAGATATGCTTATCCTTTATTGTTGGAGGCTCCTCAGCTCTAACCTCTACTTCTATTAGTATTCAACGTTGTTGTGGCTAGATATGAGGTGGGTAAAAGTATGAATGATGGTAAGGAGGATAGGGGTAAATTGACCAACTAGTTTGAGAAGGTGTTGGGTGGTAATATGGATAGAAAGGACTTGACTGTCACTACAGGAAAATCACTCATTTTCCGAGGTTTTTTTGGTAATTTTCCAGTGTACAATATTCTGGCAAACTTCCAATGGATTACGATGAAAAATTTACGACTAATTTTCAGTCAGATTTTTCAACATATTTTAATAATTTATAAAAAATCATATATTCATAATTTAATTAATTAATAATTATATAACTTATTTTAATTTTATTATTAGTTTAATAATTTATTTTAATTTATTATTAATTTAATAACTTAGTTATTTAATTATTAATTTAATACTTATTTTAATTATTAATTAAAACAATAAATTTTAATTAATTATTAACTTTAATAATTTATTTAAATTTATTTTAAATAATTAAAATAAAGTAATTAAATTTATTTTTAATAATTTTTATGGCGGGTTGGTTCACGGGCTCGCAGAGTTGTAGGCAAGCTTGGTTCATAGACTCGGGAAGTGTAGGTGAGAATGGTTCATGGGCCCCGGAGTCTATAGATGGGCCTGGTTCATGTGCCTGCGGGAGATCGCGGGTGGTTCTCAGGCCCGCTCTGGGCTAAATAATTTATTTTTATAATAGAGTACTAGTAAAACAGGAGACATAAAGTACTCAGCATGTGGTCGTACTCCAACCACAGGAGGAACTGTGTATCCCTATCCCTATTTAGTGGGGGAAAGATGGTGACTCCCCGAGGTTGTCACTCCTATCACTGGTGGAACTGTCTTCCCTAACCCTGCTTCACTCTAACCTAGACCTAGCTTGTCCAGTGGTCAACTTCTTCTTACGACCAAATATTAATGTAATTGATCTATGAGGTGGCTGATCATCTGAAGCCATCTGTAATTAAAAAAAAAAGAAATTAGTTTAAATTTTATGAAGTTGTAAAAAATCTAAAGATTTGCATAATTAAATTACAGTAATTGAAGTTTATAATTATCATAAATAGGTATAACAAAAAAATAAATTTGTAATAAATATAATGATTTTCATTATTTGAAATAGAAAATTCTGTAGTTATATACAAAAATTTAAATTGAAAAAAAAAAATTCATATGACCAACTTGTTCTTGCTAAACATGTATTTGATTATAAATTTCATAGGTACAACATTAACTAAACTGAAATAAATTTGGGCACTTAAGATCTGTGCTCTCTAAGTTATCTTAACTTTCTTCCTCAAAGTCATTAGAAGAGCTCGTTAAACTTTCCACTACCTTTTGTTGAATGTCAACATTAGGAGACGCAATATCAAGAATATCACTTTCAATAGCCCAATAATTTGACATCTCATCCTCTTGATGTGTAAAAGCTATGATGTATTGTTGGTCAATAATTCCTAGTGATTTGGTTTTAATGACAACAATACAATCTTGCTTATCTCTACAACCACTAAAATATTTGCTAAAATAATCTTGATAGCTTGACTTGCTAGCAAAAATGACTCAAACTTCTCATTTCCTTTATGATGTTTAAATTTTATTATACTATATATAGGATGAAACCTTGTGCCTCTATTTAGTAAAGGACTGTACCATTGATAGTTGGATAAATATCTAAGATCCTCATTTTCTCCTGGGCATTGTCGCTCAAGAACCTCATCTAGAATACCATAATAATCACATCAATCTTTTTCATGAATGTTCCCTCTAACAAAAACTCTAGAATTTTCAATCTTTCTTCTCTCGCACCATGGATTTGAATGAAATCTAAATCTATTAACTATATAAATTAGACATGTGTTTTCTTTTCTCATTGGTCCACAGGCTAGTCCTTGCAGCCCTTTATTAAAGGGATTATTATGGGGGTCGTGAACTTAAGGAAAATTATAAATTTTAGAGCTTTTATTGTCTAATAAGAAGAAAATTCAAGAAATACTAGATGTTTTACTCACGTATGATCTAAACCATGCTCAAAATTCATTTATTACAACTTGCTCAATAACTACACTATTTGTTGCAGACAAAACTACTTATGAAAAAACTAGATAATATATCATCCAACTTAAACTTAAATATTTAAAATAAACATTATTTCTTATCGACTTTGTGGAAGAACTTACTCTAAGAAAGGTTGGACTTACTAGCAATTTACTAACACATATAAAGTTGCTCTTTTCATTTCCAAATCTCTGAGGAATCTTGAAACATATTTTCCACTGGCCTTTTCATGACTTGTAATGACTAACAGTGAATATTGTGATTATTCATCAATATCAAAGTTCATGTTAAGACCAATTTTTATTCTTGTAATTATAGCATAGGGTTCAAAACAGTAAGAACAGAAGTGGGTGGTTTCTTGAGCCAAATAAACTTCATATATAGATCCTTTTGGTTGTGTTTTATTCTTCATATATTTTTCAACTTGTTCAAATATATGTTTAAATATGAGGATAATGTGATATGATTAGAAATACTAAAGGCACAATGTATTAAACAAACACCTCACCTTTTAATGGGATACATCTAATAATATTACACTGGTCCTCCAATTCTAGCCTCACAGGATAGATGGATTAGAAGATATTCCATAGAATCACAGAATCTTGGAGGAAAATTTTTTCTAGCTTACATAAGATGATTGGTATGTTTTTCTCACTCTTTCATAACATTTTCACTTAGTTTAGATGAACATAAGTCTTTGAAGAAAGGGATAAGCTATGTTAATGAATTTGCTATGTAATCTTGTAATAAACACAATATAATTGGAAGGAACAGCTCCATAATAATGTGACAGTTGTGACTTTTTAGTCAAAATAATCTTGTAATTATAAGGTCCACATATCGACTCAAGTTTGATCCATAACCATCAGACATTTTTAAACTTTGAAACCAATGACATATTTCTCTTCTTTGTT